TCCTGTTAATTTATTTTCCCTCTGCCTATCAGATAATTATTGAAAGACACTTCCTACAGCTTTTACTTTCTGGCTGGTTTCTCTCTCGCTCTGCCACACGAGATGCACCCACGGCAACTCACCTTCCCCTCTCCCTACAACATGTGCCTTCTCTTGCCCTACAGCAACAACCTCAAGGCAGAGGAGGACATTCCTCCCAGGACACCAGCAGGTCTGGAACACCAAATGATTCACTTGGATACTCTTACAGAGCAGTGTCAGCACGAATGACTAATCCCTGCAGGCTGTCTGCAAACCAAGGTTGGTATTAAGCCCCACTCCACAAAGGGCAGGAGAACCTCACAGCTTTCCAAAGGGCCTGCCCAAGAAAAGGAGAGGCTTGGAAGAGCACAAGACCTCATGCTTACACCTCTGCTCATTCTTTGAAGCCAAAAACTGCTTGTGAACAGAAAGAGAAGACCTGAGAATCACATTAAATACCACACAACCTGAAAAGAGAGGCTCTGGGTGCAGCCAGGGACCCTTGCAAGGCAGGAAGGCTATGTGAGGGTGATGGCATGCCACCAGACAACCTGTTTGGTACTTGCCCTCAAAAACCCTGTGCCTGCAGGTTCAAGTCCTAGGCTGCATGGAGCTGCTGAAGGGCTGAGCTGGTCTCCAGTGGGAGAGCACTCAGCATTCAAATCCTGGATGTGCTGTGTCACTAGAGAGCTGCAGCCCCATCCTGCTGACCCCAAAGTTCACCGCAAGCTTCTATTTGGTCCTTACCGAGCACTGTGATGGTGGTGTAGATTTCCTGGGGGGGATCAGTGTAGAGCTGGCAGAAGTACCTTCCTTCATCAGAAATGGAGACATTTGTCAGGGACACCCGGAGCTCGCTGTTGGAGAAGTTCACCAGCTGGAACCTGCTGTCCTTCAGCGCTGTGGAGCAAGCACAGCCTTAGTGACTGTGATGAGAGACGCAGCATCCCCTCTCCCAGCACAGCAAGGCCAAAGGTCTTCATATAAAACCAGCAGAGACACCCATCCCCTGGGTTCCTGGTGGCAGCGTCCATTCTGCTTCTGACCTTTAAGTCTGGCCCTCTGAGATATTTCAGTTCCCAGATCATTACAAGGAATCAACATAAGCCCAGCACCTTATCAGGTGCTTATCAGCTGATAAGCTGATATCTGATGGCCTAGGGACCTGTAGGTAAAATGTTGGTTGTGTAAATCACTTCTACACGGCCCCATTTCTGACTGCTGTCAGTGGACTAGGGATATAATCAGAGAGAAAAGGCTTGGGGAAAGCATGGTTTAAAGTTTCCTGACCAGTAACAGCTGCCCATCACTGGTGTAATTGAGAGTGTTTCGCTGCAGGTACCGCACTCTGAGGCATGGTCACCACAGGAAGCAAAGCCAGCCTCATCCACTGGACAGGGCACTGACCACTGACAGGAGATGCTGGTTTGGTTACAAAGCAGCAACAGACTGCCTTGAAATCCTCAATCTTCAAAGCCAGCAGATTACCTCTGAGAACACTGCGATGTCTCGGTGTTGCCCTGTTCAATTTGTTTGTGTCAGCTAAATATTTGGCACTCAATTGCCGTTCACCCTGAATTACTGCAATCAATTCCTATTGCAAAGTAAGACGGTCTGACTTTTAAAGGGGACCGTCAAGGTTTCCATTAAGGAGAAAGATTATGATTGCCTGTCTCATCTACCCTCCGAAGAATTGACTAAACTCGAAGCGTCTAGCATTGCATTAAAGGACGAGCTCTCGGCAAATGCTTTCTCCCGAGTGTGAGCAAGGCGCAGGAAAAGTTGTCATCAAACAAGGAAAGATGGGACTTACGTCTGAAATCTCGGAAATAGATGGTTTGCCTGTTGGGATTCAGGAGCTGAATCACCGAGTCGTCGCTGTTCTTGACGCGGCAGCTGATGGTGGCGACGTCCCCCTCCACCACCGTCACATCTTCTGTAACCAGATTCTGGCCATCGCCTTCAGGAGAGAGCAAAGAACAAACAGCAACATCAGACATGATGTCTGTGAGTCCTGTTGGTGTACCCAGCACCCTGGCAAAGCAGCACAGCCCTTGGGCTGCTCTGCCAGACCCAGCCTGGACGTCCAGCGGAGCAGCCCAAGTGGGGCTCCTGGACACGACGCACCCCCCAATGCTCTAATACACGTGTTCCACGTGTGTAGCAACGCCAGAAATCTGCCTTCTCTCTCAATGGATGAATTCTGCTACATTACCTCAAAGAGCAGTTTGCTCTAAGGAGCTTTTACCCTCTGACTCGAGCACACAGGCTTTGGGGAACCAGCTTTTACTCACTCTGTGTAATCAGTAGGCGCTATTAATGTCCAGAGGCAAGAAAAAGAGAATTCGACGCAATTATGCAGCGGGAGCCGTGTAATCATTTACAGGTGATCACCTCAAACTCTCCTCCTAATGAATCGAGCCACCACATCACACACACGCAGAGAAATTCGCTTCCCGTGTTAAGGGATGCAGAGGATGGGAATCTGAAAACAGTGCTCTGCATTTCCATTTTCCCCAAACCACTGGGAGCCTCGTGGAGACCAGGAAGCAAGCTGGAGGGAGGCAGAGGCGAGGCAGGACCAGAGGACACCACCAGTACCCTTAAGATAGGGCTCTCCAACACTTCCGCTTTAATATGCAAGTTTGCCAAGTAACAGAATCACAGAATACCAAGTTGGAAGGGACCTCAAAGATCATCTGGGCAATATAACCTGGCTCATATAACCTATCTGGCCAATATAACCTAATATAACCTTCCTGATCAAAGGTGGGGGATACAACCGTGCTTAACTTGCCAAAATGACCTTTCTGCCTGTGTGGTGGAAGATTTCCTACCAAGTCCAAAGGGGTTTAAAGCTGATTAAAGACAACCAGTGCAGGACACCACACTAAGAGGTCACTGTATGCCTAACTTAACACTGACATAGTGACCAAAGCGCTCCTGATGTCCCCCGCAGCCCTCATGTCAGCACTCAGGGTCCTGCACCCATCACCCATATACCAACCGTGTAGACACAAAGCCATCGATCCATGAGGATCCACCGGTGCCACATCCCGCCTGGCTACCAGAGCACCATGGGTGTGCCCAAGCAGCCCTGGTCCATGTGAGCCAGCGCCAGGCGCTCCCATACCTCCAGAGCAGAGCTAGCACAAACAGTCAATGTTACTAACTGCTCCTGGGGAATAATTTTATCAAAGCCATTCAAAACAAGGTTCTTGCACAAGGATCAGCTTGATATGTTCTCATAAACGCAATATTCACTACAAATCATTAACAAAGCTATTAAGATTCGATTTCCATCTCAGCAATTATTGCTAGCATATTTTTTTACATTTTCTTTAAAAGACTCAATCCTATTTTCAATTCATTAAACTGTTGCTTGCATTTACTGAATTTTATATCAGCTTAGAAGCCTATTTGAATTAATAAGAATTACAGTAGAAGTAATTTAGAAATAAATTATTTGAAGTTCAAGCCACTGAAGCTTTTCATGCTGGGATGCTGCTACATTAAGCCCACTGACTGATGGCTTTGGAAGTCCAGCATCTCTGTCCAGGCTGGCATCAGGATCCCTCTCCAGAAGGCATTTATCTCCCTGAGGACAACGACAGGCCAAGTGCACTTAAGGACACGCCGAGCCACGGTCCAAAGCCAACAGCATCACCAGCCCAGCAGACTTTGCGTATTTGTTCTGAACCAAAGGGCGTCTAATCCAGCCCTTGGCTGCAAAGCTCCCCTTGCTCCGCTGACCTAAATATGCTTCTGTGGCTGAGAGCACCAGACCGTGCATGATAACGCTTTGGGGGATCTGGATTCCGATCTGCTCCCGCTTACCAAGACAAGAAGGGTATTGCCGTGACCTGCATCAAGTACAAACTCTGAATTAAATCAGAGGCAACATGAAGTGAGAACTCCAGACCCATCTTCACGTCAACGTTCCAGGGAGTTTCTCAGTAAATATTTACTGGCAGCATGTTTGAGGAGCATTAGATACATTCACAGCACTACGACATGTTGTGACAGAAAAGGGAAGACTGGGGAGAGGAAATGAAGTTTAGGGACCCAACAGAGAATGGCAGAAATTAAAAGCAGCAAAGGAAAGCTGCTACTGAAACCCAACTTTAAATCACCTCCCAGTTCACAATGCATTTGGGGGGCCAAAAGCAGAGTCAACGGGAAAAACCCAACAGAATTACACGGGATAGGTGTTCATCTATTCCTTGGGAGCGGATTGTCACAGCCCCTGTGCTCTGTCTGTCTGTTAGACAGTGGTCTCCTGCTGGGAAGTCCAATACTAAGCCCAAATCCCCTCTCCAGCGTTCAATACACACAATGGACAGACTCCAGGCCCTGACCTGGAGTCTGCATCATCCTGATCTCCAATGTAAGGCATTGCTATGGAGAGTGGAGGGGGAAAGTACTACAGAAGAAGCCAGGTTCAGGGTGAACTGCCCTACATATGCAACGTCTGTAACAGCATTAATGAGCAAGTACAGCACCCTGGGAACGGCTGTGGCTGGAGCCTATGCCATTCACTTTCCCACTTCTCTTTCTGCCTCAGACCACCACAGTCTCTGCTTTTCAGACTGCAACGACAGACATCGACGAGTAAATTGTGTTTCAAATGAGTTCCTCTTAGCTGGACACAGCCCAGGGACCTTGGCTCATGCGCAGCGGTCACATTTAAAATCAATTCCTTCTCCACTTGCAGCACATTGGGACCGAGGGAAGAGCCAGGGAGAAAGAGGGATAGATGAAAACTACGTGCTTGTGAGCACGCTTCTGCCATTTCCAGCGAAGCACGAGCAGCGCTGCTGCTGATCCAGCCTACGGGATACTGGCACAAAGGCTTTCCAAGGAAGAGTAATCCTCACCGTACCTGAACCATGTAAGCCCAGAGACTCAAACAAAATTCCTCTTAATAAATTGAGTCAAGGGAAACAACCCACATGGATACACAAACTATTTGTTCGTGTGCTCCAGGAGCAAGCGACATGGTGATCAGTCCGCAGAGTTAATGTAATTTGAATGTCACAACTCATCCATCAATTCCAGCTCCTAAAAAGAACGTGGTGCTTAAATAACCAGCCCAAGCTGCGACAAACACGAGGCGGGTTTTATAAACGCCTCGTGATCCACCTACTGCAGGAGCTTCATCTACTTCTGGATGCTCCTCTCCCCGAGCAGTGCCTACGCTCTCGCCATCCATCACGAAGATAGCATCCCTCTAAAAGAAACGTCAGGAACCGCCTGTTTGGGAGGACTTCAGGAGCCAGAGAGACTTTTTGTCGTGATCAGATAACAGGAGCCTTGCAGAGCAAGAAAGAGGAGGAAATCAAATCACCATTTCATTTCTTTGTGCGTTTGCTTCAAGGAGGGATGAGAGGATTGACAACGCAGTGCTGGAAGAAGTTGCTGGAGCTCAGAGCATCTGGTTTCCAAGTCTTCAGAGACTCTTCCAGAGAGCTGCAGTCGTCACACTTGAACTTTGGAGAAGAATGGACAATCCACACTAATTGTGCTGGGGAGAAAAGGCAATTGCTTCCTGCGGAGTTAATTTCATGACAGCTTTTCACAGGCAAGGGAATGACAGTTTCAGACGAGGCTGCCTACAGACCATGCACGTGGGAGCGCGGGGCACGGCTGGCAGCGGGGTGAGCGCTGCCGCAGTGAGCTGGTCCCTCACCGGCAGTGGGATGGAGCAGGGCTGGAGAACAGCGCACGAAACCACGCAGTGAAACCCACTCTGCAGAGACAGGGATGCTGCCATCCACTCGCATTAATCCTGAGCACTTCAGGGTGAAGGGGAGCAGAAGAGGCAGCCTGCTGCTGCTTACACCCATGTGTAACCCTGTTGGAACCCTGCTGAGGCCAAGGAGCCACACAGGGAGCAGACCTTGCTCCAGGGACATCAAGGGAAGGGGATCTTGCAGCTCTGCTTCTCTCTCCGAAGCAGACGACAGCAAATTGACATGGCAACGCTCACCTGGTACTAATATCTTTACTTTCAGACTTAATGTGTATTATTCTTTCTTCACTGCTACAGCTAGGCTTGGTAGAACTGCTTTGAGAAAGGATGCTGCCGATGGTACCAGTTTTGGTATCACTTGATGATGCTACAAGCATCAGTTCCTGTTTAGGGAGGAGGGAAAGGAGGTGTGGGTGGAATTAACATTCACAGAAACTATTCCCAAAACATTAGTACCATGGATCTGTGAAAGTACAGGTAGTGCTGCTGGCTAAGGAAATGCACCGCCCATGAAGAAACTGCTCCTTGGCAACACATGATGCCTTCCACTTTCCAAGCAGGGAACAGTTTGGTGAAAGGTTGATTGTTTCTCAGAAGAAGAAATGGAAGAGGAGATGGTGGCACCAGATTAAAGGGTCACTCTAAGTTACCATCAGAACCATGACTGACCCTGGCCCTGCCACTGGTCCCCAGGAGCCAGGTCGGTGAGAGATGCTTCTCCTCACACATGTTCACCCCTGACTTGGCTAAAAGTGGGCTGGTTTCCCCATGGCATCGCCACCAAACCTTGGGTGGAGAACCTGTGCACCACTGTGGATGACCAGCCCTGGGATGTGAGCAGATGCCTGGCGTGGTCTGCACGGACCCAACCACTGCCAGCGCGCTGTCACAGGCTCACCAATCTCCCTTGTCACCGCAGGGACCCACTTCCCTCTTTGCCAGTCCATATTTTAGCAAGCGTGTGAATGCTTTCAGCACCTTTCTGCAGCGCTGCGCCCGGCTCCTCTCCAGCCACAGCTCACACTTCCGTGCTGAACTGCTCTCATGAGACAGCATGCAAAGGTGTGCTGACAATTCCTTACTGTGGGGAGCACGTTTACGCTGTGACACACACACACTTCAGAAAAATACACTGCAAATTCAAGCAAGTTGTGCACAGCTATTAAATTCCTGGAGGAAAAAATGCTACAGCCACCTTTATGGCTTTTCTGGCTTAAAGAGTAAGAATAAAAGATGACAACAGCTTGAGCTGACACCAGCGGCTGTATTTACTTTAAACATTTGTGAATTTCTGCATGATGAAGTGGCATTGGGGAATTCTTTCCACTGGACTGCAACTAAAGCAGTACAGAGGCAGAAAACCGCTGGGAAACAGCCCTAAAGCAGCGCTCTTGATGAGAACAAGCCAGTTATAGCCCACATCCTGTGCAACGAGCAAATGGAAGTATTTTTCACCCTAAGAATAAACCCCTTTTCCCCTCCTATGAAACCCTGTGCACTGCTGGCCATAGGTTGCTCGGCCCAGAGCATCTCCTGACCTGCCAGGCCCATCGTGCTGCTCCTCTTATGATGCTGCTGCTACCAGGAACCACATCAGCGCAGATTTATGACCTGCCACCCGTGCTGGGATTAGACGTCAGCCTTGTCTTTCTATTACCCACACATTGATAGATAAAATTCCACGGCCATACACTGCCTGTCCCTTCAAAGGTTACCACTGGGGATGCTGAGGATCAATACCCATCTCATCTGCCGCTGGCTGGGAGGAACAGAGCAAACAAGGCTCCTGTCTGGGGGGGAGGACCTGGCACAGCTCGCAGCATTAGTACTGGGTTTTGCCACAAAGCCTGTTGTTCCTCACATCTCTGGGTTTTTATTCCACTTTTCTAACCAAATCTCGGGATGGAAAGCAATTCATAACAATCACCAAAATGTAGTCTTTCAGAAAACGATCATACTTGCAGTTAATAGGTTTGGATTCTTTGAAAGAGGAATCCTATAAGCCACGCTCACCACAATGGAGCTTCTGCTGTCTGAAAGCACAATTCACACATTTTGCTGCCATAGATAGATTGGGAAGCTGCATGCCTGGTTTAGAACTAATTCCTTAACCCATTGGACAGTTCTTAAATAAAAGATGTTGCTACTGCAGCTTTTCCTTTTACTTTTTTATATCTATCTATCTAGGGATGCTCAAACAGTTTAACCAACTGCCTGGAAGCAGCGCTTGCCAGAAATAGCAGCAGCGCATCTCTTGCTTTTACTGTGGAAGTTGCAGGTCCATCGCCAAGACAATAAAAGGTTGAGGGGCATGAGGAGGAGCAAGGAGAAGCCCAGCAAAGGGCAAAGCTGTGCACAGCCTCAGGACAAACACAAGGCAGGACCTCGCACTCCTGTTCCTCCTGATACTGAGCCATCACCACCCATCAAGGCCGCCCCATGAAATCCACTGCTCTGGTCTCCCCTCCACTGCTCGGAAGCAGCACCAGCGAGGGAGAAGGAGCCTGACAACACACGAGGGTCCCAGCAGACTGCTGCCTCCGTTCAGCGTGTTTAAGTAACACTCGTCTAGGATCAACGCTCATTTATTATTAATGTCACCCTAATACAGAATCCCGTATCTGCATTTTATCTTCCAGCTGCATCGCTACCAAGGACACAACAGCCTGGATCTAAAGGGGGGAGACTTGATTAATCCAGAGGTTCACACACACACACGGAACGTCCTCTCTCTGTCATGACTTGGTCCATCAGGAGCCCGAGCCTGTTGTGCAGCAGGTTGCTGCAGGTAAGAGGGTGAAATACTCCGTTTTCCCAGACTGCTGCCTCACACATTTCCATCTCTGCCACAGGGATGCTCCATACTCGGGCACCTCAGCACCAGCTCCAGGCACACCACCCACACTCCCAAAGCTGTCAGTGGGGGTTACTCAGGATAACGGGATTCTCCAAGAACCAGGAACACTGTTTCAAGGCAGGTGATGGGTTTCATTTTACTCTAATAAGCAGATATGTCTGATATCTGTTCCTGTAACCCATTTCTTGCAGAGATAGTAGGTAATATTGGGATATAGTATTTTTCTTGGGGTATTCTAGCCAATTCCCATTCTTTGGCTGAGAGACAGCTTTAAAGGACACCATTTACTTGCTGCACTATAGACAGAAGTGATGCCACCCCCCTTTTATTTTAATTTTTAGAGATCATGGAGCTCTTCTGCCAAGGAACAACAGGCACCAGCAGTGAGGATTTTGCATCATATAACCATGAGGGTTATACATTCCCTCCCCAAAAAACCCAGGGGGAAACAATCTCAGCAGTGTCATTCCAATCCAAGAGAGCTCCTCCCAGCTCACGCTCCTGGAACGGATAACAAGGTATGTTACAAAAGCCTTTAGTCTCGGTCTGGCTCAGACACAATGACAAATGCTAGCCTAAAGGGCAACGTATTTGTAAGTTTGAAGTCTCCTGCAACACCAACTGTCCTGATTCCTTCTGGTGATAAAGGCTATTCTGAGAGCTGTGTTACCATATTTATTATTTGCTAGAAGAGGAAGAAAAACCATGGAATCAGCCCTCGATCTGCCACCCGTCGGATTTATAACTGTTAGTAGAAGACCAACACTCACGTCCTGAAGCATTAATCAGTCAGTGCAGATTGTGACCGTCCTCCCCAGCCTCTTCCATGAGCTCTGTATTTCTTTCCCCCCTCCTTCATCGGTGGGATTTGCTTTGACTGAAGCCATGAAAAGA